ACGGTGGGTCCTCGCTGCCCCGTCCACACGGACCACGTGCACCGAGGAAAGAACCATCCAGAGGGGCTGAGGCAGCTGTGTGGCTTCGGGCGAGTGGCTCCACCTCTCTGAGCTAAACCCCCTCAAAGCAAAAGGCGATGGTAACACAGCCCGGCTGGTAGCACTGGAACGAGGGCGACGTGCCAGGCGCTGCACGGGCCCCACGCAGAGCTTGAAAGAACCTCGAATGGCCAACACAGCGAGGGCGTCATCCCTTTCTCAGTCCTGATCGCTGCCCGGGAGACAGGCTTGGCCGGGCCGGACCGGGGCGCCCAGCCCCGTGCACAGCTTTCTCTCTCACACAGACACGCCGGCCGCAGGCTCCGAAACGGGGCTGGCGACAGGGCCAACTCCTTTCTTCGGTTTTCATTGTGATCGTCTTGTGTGGCTCGTTTCTCTCTGCGGCAAGTGCATCGCGTGTGATACTTTCCCCCCTAAACAAACATACACGTAGCCCCTGCTATCTCAACACCATTGGCCAGAGGTGGGTTTTAAATATGTTTTTATTGATTTCTCTTAGAGAGAGAAGAAGGGAGAGGGATAGAGAGAAACACCAACCACTGGGGCCCACAACCCAGGCACGTGCCCTGACCCGGAATCCAACTGTGACCTCTTGGCTCATAGATCGATGCTCAACCACTGAGCCACACCGGCCAGGCTTAAAGATTCTTTAATTTGACTTTTAGAGAGAGAGGAAGGGAGAGGGAGAGAGAGAGAGAGAGACATCAATGTGAGAGCAAAACATCAGCTGTCTCCTGCATGCTCCCTACCAGGGATCGAGCCCGCAGCCGCCCGGGCATGTGCCCTGATCAGGGATCGAACCCGCATCCTTTCAGTGCCTGGGATGACACTCCACCAACTGAACCACACCGACCAGAGCCGGCACCAGAGGTTTAGAAAGCAAGGAACCCCGGTTTGGGGAAGGAGGGGTTTAGCTGCAAATGTATCTGAATCTCTTTGGTCCTCGATTCCAGAACGGGGGACCCGCGTTTACACAAAGGCCGTGAGTGAGCTGTGGGCTCAGGACCAACTTTGTGGGCAGGACAACGGCACAAGCGGCCCATGGATTTGATAAGAGCTGTGAAGACCGAACTTTGGTCAACAAGAGAACGGCCACCCGGTCCGCGAACAGAATACGCTCAGCCCAGCACCCGGCACAGGGAGAGCCTCAGGGGGACGCACCCCACCTCCTTCCTGGGTCTACCTCCGGGGTCCTGGCATGCCTCGGTTTACCCCCCTGATCCTTTCACCCATCTCAGCCTCATCCCTGGACTCCCTTGTTCCCTTCCATCGACTTCCCACCAGCCCTTCCCTGCAAAACTTATCCAAGGAATGTTCCAGAACCTGAGCTGTCCATACAGGAGCCCCTGGCCACATGGGGTTCTCTATCTATAATAATAAAAGCGTAATATGCTAATTAGACTGGACAAAATCGAGGCTGCGAGGGAAGCCCAGGTCCCGGGAGCCAGAGGGAAGCCGGAGCCGGTAGCTGGGGGAAGGCCACTAGTGCATCGGGCCTCTGGTATTCAAATAAATTAAAATGAAATACAATTAAAAATCCAGCCCACGATGGAATACTACACTGCTGTAAAAAAGAAATATTTTTTCCATTGCTTTTTCAGAGAGAGGAAAGGAAGGAGGGGGGAGGGAGGTAGAGAGACAGAACCATCAGTGTGAGAGAGACTCATTGATTGGTTGTCCATATGAGCCCCAACTGGCAACAGGGAGCAAACCCACAACCCAGGCACATGCCCTTGACCTGGAATCAAACCTGTGACCCCGCCTGGCTGGCGTGGTTCAGTGGTTGAGCTATGACCAGGACGTCATGGTTCATTTCCTTGTCAAAGCACATGCCGGGGTTGTGGGCTATCCCCAGTCGGGGCCGTGTGCAGGAGGCAGCCGATCAATGATTCTCTCTCCTCATTGACGTTTCTATCTCCCTCTCCCTCTTCTTTCCTCTCTGAAATCAATAAAAATATATATTAAAAATAAATATATAAAAGTTAAAAACCCACTTTCTCGGAGGGGTCAGGAGCCGCGTGCGGCCAGTGGCTGCAGGACAGTCCCACCTCGGCTGAACGTTCGCTGGCCGGGGCTGGCCACCTCCCTCTGCACTCGCACCTCCTCCCCGGCCTCCCTCTCAGTGTGGCCACCAGAACTGAAATTGTTCCCGATAAGATCGGCAATTACCGCGTGTCCCCAAATACAATGGCCTCTATTCAGGTCTTATCTGACTACCACGAAGTGGCAGAAACCTTCCCTCTGGCAGAGCACAACTGCCCCCCTCCTGGTTCTTCCTCCCTCATCCGGGGCTTTCTCCCCCCTTGAGCACCGGTGGTCCCCAGATCCAGGACCAGGCGGCTTCCCCGCACCCATCTCAAACTTGAAGCCCAGGGGCCAGGCAAGTCGTTTCAGGGAAGGAAGAGGCCATCCCAGGCCTGGGGCCTGAGGCAGCGTTTGGAGACAGGTGTTTGCAAACTGCTCTTGCATGGGGGGGAAAACAGGTCACGGAATTGCCAGTTGGCAACCTCCCTGACTTCACGCTTTCTCCCATAACACCTCCCCCACTTCCAGTGTCCATTACCACCCACAGCTAGGGCTTCTCAAAGGCTGGATGGAAGTCCCAGGCCTTCCCCTGAGTCCCCGACCCAGGTCTCCGAGGCCCGGAGTGCCCCGGGGCCCCAGCTCGCTAGATCTCTCACCGAGCCCCGAAACGCACCCCCAAACCTGCTCATCCTCCTGGGTCCCTCACTGTGGGGACAGCCCCACTGTCTCTCAGGCCCCAAGTCAAATGTCCGGGAGCCACTCTCCTTATTCCCCAAATCCGTCAGTCCCCAAGCTCCTACCCGAATGTGCGTCCCCTCCTCTCTGTGTCCCCTCCTGTGTCCCCACAGACCTGGCCTGGCTCAGGCCTCTTCCCCTCCCACCTGGACCCTTGAGCAACCTCTTCCCTGCCTTCCCAAACTCCTATCCATCCTGACACGACCCCCTCAGGGTCTTCCTGCACCCATACCTGCCCCTGCCCCTCCCTTGGGCCCGCAGCAACCTAGGACAGGGTCCCCGCCCCCCGAGTGGTACTGGAGGCCCCGTGAGGTCTGGCCCCGCCAACCTCCTTGGCCTCCACTCTCCCGACAGTGCACCCTGAACTCCGCTCCATTTTCAAGCCTCATCACATGGTCAATTTGCACATGCTGTTCCCACTCCCCGAATCACTTCCCGCCTTCCTCTCTCCAGCCCGCCTTCACCCGTGGAACTCCAGCTCTTCCTTCAGATGTCACCGCACCGGCCCCTCCTCCCCAGGACAGGAGTGATGCCCCGACTCCTCCCCAGCTCCCGCGGGACCCGGTGGCACGCCCTTCGCATCTGGATCTCCTGCCTGGCCTTACCGCTACCCTCCGCCCGCTAGACCAGAGGCTCCCACACTTTCTTGACCACAGCCTAGTGCCCACCAGGTGGTGTTAGAACACTCACCCCCTAAATGCACAGCTGCTCGTTGAGCCATCGTTGCAAGCCAGACTGCATCCACACAACAGGCGCAGGACAAAACACACGCCACGAGGCAGACCGACATTCCCACGCCCCGAGGCTGTCTTGCCAGTAACCAGACGGCCCAAACCCACCTGAGAGCCGGTCGCCGGAGGCCAGGAG